GCGCCCGAGGCCTGGGATCCACGGTGACCCCTCGGCCAGGCTTCCTGGCGCTGGCGGTGGTGGACGGCGGCGGCTCCTGGGAGCTGGCATGGCAGGCCGGGAGCAGCAGTGCCAGAGACTGGAAGGTGGCCAGTGTCCTTCTGGGGGAACGCTCCCGGCCCTTCCGGGTGAGGAGGGCAGCCTGCGGGGTGGTGGGGGACGCAGCCTGCCCTGACTTGACAGTCCTCCTCCTCCTCGTGGCCCCCTTGAAGCTGGAGTTTGTGAGCCTGGTGGACCTGGACGGCCCCGACCACCAGGGGGCTGGGGTGGACAACGTGACCCTGAAGGACTGCAGCCCCGCGGTGACCACCGACAGAGACAAAGGTCCCTCCCGCCCGCCTCCCGTTCCCACCTGGGGGCTCCCTCAGAGCACCTCAAGGGTCCCCGAGCCTTCCCTTCTCAGGGGCCGGAGGAGTGGGGGAAGGTGCTGTCACTGCTCGGCTACCCTCCCCCTTCCCCTCCCCCTCCCAGAGATCTCCTGTAACTTTGAGCGCGACACGTGCGGCTGGTATCCCAGCCACCTCACGGACACACACTGGCGCCGGGTGGAGAGCCATGGCCCTGGGTATGACCACACCACCGGCCGAGGTAGGGCAGCGGCTCCCAGACCTTGGGGGTCCAGGCCAGGGATGGGGAGGTGCCCAGGCCCAAAGGGCTCCCAGGGCAGCAGAGACCGGGCATCTCCGCAGCGCAGCCCCACGCCCCCTGCAGGCCACTTTGTGCTCCTGGACCCCGTGGCCCCCCCAGCCCGGGGCCGTAGCGCCTGCCTGCTGTCCAGACCCCAGGAGCCTGCAGCCCCCGAAGAGTGTGTCAGCTTCTGGTACCACCTCCACGGGCCCCAGATTGGTGAGTGGGCCTGGGAGGGGGCAGGGCCTTCGGGAGCCCCTGCCTGGGGCCCATTGGGGTGGGCCAGGGTTGGGACTGGGCCCCTCCAAAGCCCACTTCCCTGCAGGGACGCTGCGCCTGGCCATGCGACAGGAAGGGAAGGACACGCCTCTGTGGTCACGGTCAGGCACCCACGGCAACCGCTGGCACCAGGCCTGGGCCACGCTCGCCCATCAGCCCGGCTCCGGCGCACAGTACCAGGTGTGGCCTAGTGCCCAGGGCGAGGGGCGGGACTGGGCCCAGCCAGCTGACCCCCTCCCCCCCAGCTGCTGTTCGAGGGCCTCCGGGACGGGTACCACGGCACCATGGCGCTGGACGACCTGGCTCTGCGGCCGGGCCCTTGCTGGGCCCCCAGGCGCTGCTCCTTCGAGGACTCGGCCTGTGGATTCTCCACCGGTGGCCAGGGCCTGTGGAGGCGCCAGACCAACGCCTCGGGCCACGCCGCCTGGGGCCCGCCGGCTGACCACACCACGGAGACTGCGCAAGGTACCGGTCCGGTGGGGTGGGCGGGGGCTGGACAGGCCTCAGACTGATGCCGGCACCCCCAGGACACTACATGGTGGTGGACACGAGCCCGAGCGCGCTGCCCCGAGGCCGCGGGGCCTCCCTGACCTCCGAGGAGCACAGGCCCCTGACCCAGCCCGCCTGCCTGACCTTCTGGTACCACCTGAGCGTCCGCAGCCCAGGTGGGGGGGCTGGGGCCCGCGGGCTTGGGGAGGCAAGGCCTGGTGTCCCCGCAGGGCCCGTGCGAGGCTGCCTGGGAGCCAGCAGGCCCTGGCGGAGCCCACGCGGGCATTGCCTTGCACACCACGGACCCGGGCTGCTCTGCACGCAGGCACCCTGCGAGTCCACCTGGAGGAGACCGAGAGGCGCCAGGTGTTCAGCGTCAGCACGCACGGTGGGCTGGCCTGGCGCCTGGGCAGCGTGGACGTGCGGGTGGAGCGGGCCTGGAGGGTGAGTGCGGCGCTGGGTGGCCCTCCCCGCTCCCCTCACCCAAGGGCTGCCAGACCGGCCTGAGGCTGCCTTGTCCTGTGCCCGGCCAGGTGGTGTTCGAGGCCGTGGCTGCGGGCGTGGAACGCTCCTATGTGGCGCTGGATGACCTGTTTCTTCAGGACGGGCCCTGCCCTCAGCCAGGTGGGAGCCCTCTGCGGCCCAGACCTGGCCTCAGCCCTGCCCCTTCCCTTCCCCTTCCCCTGCAGTGCTGCTGCCCGGGGTGGACCTGGGGACAGCTCCACTCACCGGCTGCTTCCTTGCAGGTTCCTGTGACTTTGAGTCTGGGCTGTGCGGCTGGAGCCACTTGGCCTGGCCTGGCCTGGGCGCCTACAGCTGGGACTGGGGTGGGGGAGCCACACCCTCACGCTACCCCCAGCCCCCCGTGGACCACACTCTGGGCACAGAGGCAGGTGCGTGCCTGCTGGAATGGCGAGGGCTGGTGGCCGGTGCCCGGAGGACATACAAGCCCACTGGCCACCCATGGGCGCCCCCAGTCGCCTGGGCCCTCCCACCCAGGCTCCCTCGGCTATGAGGCTGGCTCCCTGTCAGCAGTCACCGCCCTCTTCCTCAGGCCACTTTGCCTTCTTCGAGACGGGCGTGCTGGGCCCCGGGGGCCAGGCTGCCTGGCTGCGCAGCGAGCCTCTGCCGGCCACCCCAGCCTCCTGCCTCCGCTTCTGGTACCACATGGGCTTCCCAGAGCACTTCTGTGAGTCTGGCTGGGCCTGTGGGTCCTGGGTGCTGGGAGGACAGGTTGCAGGCAGAGGGCAGCCCTGTCAGGCATGCAGGGGCCCTCCAGGACCGGCCCTGACCCTCCCTGGCCCTGCTTCAGACAAGGGGGCACTGCGGGTGCTCCTGAGCAGTGCCCAGGGCCAGCTGGCCGTGTGGGGCGCGGACGGGCGCATGCGGCACCAGTGGCTGAAGGCCGAGGTCGAGGTGGCCAGCACGGAGGAGTTCCAGGTGAGGCCGCAGCACGGGCCAGGAGACTGTGGGGCGCAGGTGGGGCCCCTCCCACCCTCCGGGCCACTGGCCACTCTTCCTCCCATCAGATCGTGTTTGAAGCCACTCTGGGCGGCCAGCCAGCCCTGGGGCCCATTGCCCTGGATGACGTCGAGTACCTGGCCGGGCAGAGGTGCCAGCAGCCAGCAGCCAGTCAGGGTGAGCGCAGGGCCGCAGCCAGAGGCACTTGGAGGAGGGCCTGGGTCTGCCAGGCTCAGGGAGGGGCTCGTGGCCTGGGAGCTGCCAGCGCCCTGCAGCCCGGGAGGCCAGGGAGCCACCAAGTCCAGGCCTGTGCCCTCCCTTCTCTGCCCCACTGACCTCCGGGGCCCTGGCCTGGGTCTGCCCCGCCTGGCTGTGGCCTCTGCACTCCCCGTACCCACTCCCAGGGCGGTCCCTGGTTGCCGTCGCTTTGCGGAAGGGGCGGAAGGGGCATCTCCCCAGGGGCACAATCCCCTCTGCAGAACTGACGCCCTCCCCCTCTCAAAGAGGGCAAACCCTGGGCCGCAGGGGCGGAGGGCACCAGGCGGCCCGTGCTCCTTCCTCGGCCCCAGACACAGGGCCGGACTCAGGCACCGAGCTGGGGGCTGCTGTGGAGGGCACAAGCCCAGCTCACGCTCCTGCGACCCAGGAGCCGCGGCCCCGCGTGTGTCCGCCCCGGCCGCAGCGGGCGGCGCCATTCTCTTCATCACGCTCCTGGTGCTGCTGGGGCTCGGGAGGCGGTGCTGGCTGCAGAGAAAGCGGGGCTGCCCCTGCTGGAGCAACACAGAGACCACGGCCACCGGCTTTGACAACATCCTTTTCAGCGCGGTAGGGGCCCCCCTGCGCTGGGCTGTGACGGTGGAGGACGGGAGCCAGCCCTGCTGCCCTGCCCGCCCACGTGCCTGTCACCACCACAAGGCTCCTCCCTCTAGGATCGCGTCATCCTCCCAGCGTCTGTCACCAGCGACCCATAGACCACCCTGACGAGGCTCTGACCCTTCACAACAGACCCCGACCAGGAACCAGACTCCCCTCCAAAGCACACTGAGCCTCCGTGTCCCTCCCCTGTGCCATGACTGTTGCCCCCTAAATAAATGCTCGGCCCACGAGGGCAGCCCAAGCTCCAGGTCAAAGTCAGTGTGTCCATGCTCTGCTAGCCTGGGGGGCTCCAGCTTTCCCAGACCCAACCCAGACAGACCTGAGGGGACACTCTCCAAACAGCAGAACAGGGCATGAGGACCCTGAGATGCTGTACCCCGGGCCGGCAGGCCTTGCTTCACTGGGTGAGGGTGCACCTACTGAGGACGGCAGGAAAACAAAGCCACTGGGGCAGGGACACACCACGAACACCTCCAGGAACGCAGCACAGAGGTAGCCTGCCAGGAAGGCCCACTGTGTCCAACAGCCCCAATCAAGGTCCCCATGCGCACCGCCCCATCAAGATCACTGTACCCAACATCCGAAATAAGAGACCCCGGTATCACAACACACAGGAAGGGCCCTTGTGTCTGCCACCCCCAATATGGGACCCTGTGTCCACTGCCCATGGCAAGCCTGCAGGCCTGCTGTCCCCGAGACAGAGTTCCGTGCCGACAGCCACAAGGGTCCCCGTCCACACTGTGCCTTGTGCAGGATCCTGTCCCCACCATCCACAACCAAGTCGCCCCTTGCCCTCTGTCTACAGTAAAGGTTTGAGTAATCCCAGGGCTGAGATCTTGGGACCAGGGTCACGTGCGGCCCCATGACCCTCCGGAGAGAGCTCGGGAGGCAGAGCCCTGCCCTGGGCCTCCCAGGGCCCTCTCCGAGCCTGTGCGTGGGTGTGAACTGGTCGGGCGCCGTAGCGAAGTGCCGCCCGCCTGGGGTGGGGCCAGCATTCCCCCACACGGAGGGCGCCCCCAGCTTGAGCCTCCCCAGGGGTCACTTGGACATGGCCCTGCTGCAAGGACTAGTGTCCTGAGGCCCATGCGACCTGCCTTCCAGCGGCTCTCCCGGGGAGGGAGTGACACCCCCACCCATGCAGCCCGCTGCGCCCTTCCGGCTCTGCCACCTTCCTGCCCCGGCCGTCCTGGAGGGCCCAGCTCCCTCCCCAGCCTCGGGCTCCTGCCTGGCCCGGGGCAGGCAGCTGTCGAGGGAGACACTGTCCTGTGTCTTCAGGGGCCCCAAGGGGACAGTGCCCGTGGACTGTCCAAGCAGATGCGTGAAGAGGAAACGGCTCTGGGTCCCTGGGGGTCCCCCACAGGGAGGCAGTGTCACGGAAACCCACCAGCGCCCCCCACGTGAAGGCCCAAGTGGAGCGGGCCATCACTGCCAGCGAGAGCAGACTCCCACTGGCCTCTCTGAGTCGCGTTCGGGAAAGCGGAGCCACTTCTGCGCTTCAGCCCACAGCCCCACCCTCCGGGGAGGTGGCGCCCCAACTCCGCCAGGCCTGAGCCACCATGCAGGAAGCGGCAGGAAAGGCAAGGCCGCGTCCAGCCCCCAACTGTGGGGCGGGGCCAAGAGAAAAAGGCGGGAGAGACAGACACTGCAAGGGTTTTTTTAGTTTCTGTGACAGCAGGTGGGGGTTGGGGTCCCCACAGCAGGACCCCGTGTTCCGCTTGGCCACGTGAGGAGGCCCACGTCGCTGCTGGTGGTCAAGGGGACCCGCCAGACGAGATCAGCCGGAACGCACTGATTTCGAGGCTTTGTGTTCATTTTGCCCTGGGTCCCTTCTCGATGGGCTTTCCAATGTCCTTCCCCCGGAGCTTGAGGCCTGAAACGAGCCACCAGTGGCTGACCACTGACGCCACAGCCCCCAATGCCGACGGAGGGACCGCGCCACAGCGCCCCGCCCAGCACCCTCCAAGTGGCAGCAGACGTCCGCTGTGTCCCGGGGGTAGCTCCCTCCCTGCCCTGAGCTGCCCGACATCTTCCCAGGGAAAGGAGGGCACCGCTCGGTCCTCATGGGCTCTCGGCACACGAAAACCCCACGTTTTCACGTCTAACTGGAAAAACGCGTGGTCTGACAATCTCAGACAGCAGACAACGAGTGTCTCTCCCAAAGAACCGCCCCCCAGCCCCATGCCAACACGGAAAGGCGACGTCCGGTTCAGAGGAGGATGCTGGCTACTGGCCAGGAGTGAGGAGACGAGACCGAGAGCCTACGCACTCAGGGCTCCCAAGGGCCCCAGCTGGGGCCCCATCACCCCTCAGCAGCCTGGACCCCGGACGGCACTCTCGCACGTCAGAGAACAGGGCACCCAGGGCTGTCTTGGCCCTCCCGGGACACTCACCGATGGCTCTCTCGATCTTGCCCAGAACCTGGTTGTTGGGAATGGCCCGTCCGCTCTCGTAGTCCGCGATCACCTGCGGCTTCTCGTTGATTTTCTAAAGGGAGGACATGCTGTGAAACCCAAGTGAGATGCCCCCCAGGGCGCCACTAGCCAGGAGCAGGGCCGGGCTGAGCGCGCGGCAGCTCTCGGTCCGAGGTCCACACCCCCGGGTAGCCGCGACTCGTGCCAGTCGCAGCCGGTCTTTGGGGGGCCGAGGGTTGAGGGCACGCCGAAGCCCCCACCACCAGGTGGGGCCTGCCGCCTGCCCAGACACTGCCGGAGCCTCCGGCCAAAGCGCCTCACCGTGGCCAAGTCCTTCTGCGTGAGGCCCTTGCTCTGCCGGCCCTGCTGGATCGCCTTGCCCACCTCCAGGGGCACCCTGTCGTGGTGCAGCTCCTCCGTCTCCCGGTCCAGCTTGGCCGTGTTCTTGGTGAGGGAATGCTGCTTGTTCTGGCCTGCATCCCACTTCTTGGACGTCTCCACGTCGTCCCCTCGTCTCTGAGCCGCCAAGATGGCCTAGAACATCAGAAAACGTCTTTTGGCCCGAGTCGGCGCCAGCAGCGTCGAGCACACATCGCTGTGGCCTGCCGTTAGCCAGTCACCACCGAGGGCCAGTGGTGTGGAAGGGCTGATACGCAAAGCCAGGCTCAGCAACCCGAGCTCACTCTCCAAGTGCCGGACAATCAAGCATCTAGGAAACGCACAAGTTGCTACTAGAAACAAGTAACTTCCTTTAGTGCGAAGAAAGACAAAGCTGGTGGACGCTTTCTACTTTTACTTTTTAGAGACAGAGTCTCACAGTGTTGTCCAGGCTGGTTTTCAGTGAGCCTCCTGTTTCAGTCTCCCGAGCAGCTGGGACTACAAGTATGCACCAATGGATTCTCTTTAGAAATTATATTTGAGCTCAGTCTGCAATCTCAGCAATTTAGGAGGCCAAGGCGAGTGGGATGCCTGAGCCTTTGGGTTCGAGACCCACCCAGGCAACTTGGCAAGACCTCATCTCTACAACAAATCAAAAAAATTAGCCGGGTGTGGTAGCGTGCACCTATACTTCCAGCTACTTGGAGGGCTGAGGTGGAAGGATCGCTGGAGCCCAGCAGGTCAATGCTGGGGTGGCCGTGAGCGTGCCCCTGCACTCCAGCCTGGGCTACAGAGTGAGACTCCAACTCAAAAAAAAATTCTTATTTGAAATAGATGTGCTTCTCAGCTACATTCTCCTGCAAAAGCAGGAAGAAATTAAGTGTTGACCTGATGTGGCCTTCCTCGCTGAACCTGGTTCCTAATAAAACAGAGATGACAGGTCGGGCATAGTGGCTCACGCCTGTAATCCCGGCTACTTGGAAGGCGGAGGCAGAAAGATAGCCCAAGCCCAGCAGGTCGAGGCTGCAGTGGCTGTGAGCGTGCCCCTGCACTCCAGCCTGGGCAACGGAGTGAGACTGACTTCAACAACAGTAAACTGAGAGGACGAATCTCATGGAAACCAGCAGCCTCCCCAGAGACAGCACCATTAACAGTGATGCCATTTGATCTACAGTTACTGAATAGTAACATAACATACTTCTTGATGTTCTTAATGATTCAGGTAAGCGACTTTTGGGACATTCTAAATAAGATATGTTCAAAGATGCTATCTATAAAACTGTTCACACGACTCATCACTTGTGGCTATTAGGTTTCCTTTAAAAGAAAAAGAGGCCACCTGAGCCCAGGGGTTCAAGACCAGCCTGGACAACTTGGTGAGACCTCGTCTCTACAATAAATCACACACACACACCAAAAAATTAGGCACGGTGGCGTGCGCCCAGCTACTGAGGCTAAGGACTGCCTAAAACCAGCAGGTCGAGGCTGCAGTGGCCATGAGCCTGCCACTGCGCTCCAGCCTGGGTGACAAGAGTGAGACTCCAACTCAAAAATTTAAAAAAAAAGGAAAACAAAAAGAGGCCAAGCACAGTGGCTCACGCCTGTAATCCCGGTACTGTAGGAGGCGGTGGCAAGAAGACTGCCTGAGCCCAGGGGTTGGAGAGCAGCTGGGCAACTTGGCAAGACCTTATCTCTACAATAAATCAAAATAAGCCCAGTATGGTAGTGCACGCCTGTAGCTCCAGTTACCTGGAAGGCAGAGGCAGAAGAACACCTGAGTCCAGCAGGTCAAGACTGCAGTGGCCGTGATTGTGCCACCACACTCCAGCCTGGGCAAGAGAGTGAGACTCCGACTCAAAAATAATAAAAGAAAAAAAAAGAGTGAATTTGGTTTTGACCACACAACAGATAAGCCTGGGGCAGGCAATGAACGACCCCTCCTCACAGCTGACTCACAAGCAGCCCTGGAAGGATCAGCCATGTTGGTAACCTCCTGCAAGGCCTGGCCCTCTGTCCCTAAGGGAAGCAGGGTCTACCGCACACGGGTCTCCCTCCCAGACCCAAGAGAGGCACTCCCTACAAGCCCACACAGGCCTGCGCGGGCTCGGTGGGCAGCATCCAAGCAGAGATCACCAGCAGAAGCAGGCAGACGCCAGGCAGCGAGAAAGCCTTCAGGAAGGGCCTGCCCCTGGCCCCAGGCCCCAGGCCCCACTCTGGCCGCCCAGCCCGTCCCCGAGCCGCTTCCCACCCCAGCCCATCAACCAGTGTCCACACGCCAGCCC